GCCCTTTGGTTGCCCGCATGGGCGCGATGCGACAAGAATGCGGATCTGCGTGCCGACGCGGTGGGCCGGGTGGGCCCCGCGTGGACCTGGCTGCCGGCCCCAGGGCCCATCAGTGCCGAGGCCCCTAAAGGCCCCCCTTGGGCAGGAGACGCAGGCGGCGCAGGCCCGGGCCAGGCCGGCATTATAGACTGTGCAACGCCCAGGAAAACGCCTCGAAAACGCCCCACCCTCCGCGTCCACCACCATCATCATCTTCATCATCATCATCAGACTCGGGATGATCTGGTTGGCTAGCCGAGGCTAAGTCGAGAGCGGCCGCCTCTGACCAGGCCAGTGCCTCCGATAGATCGGGATGAAACGGATCGTCTCTCCCTCCTCTCCACCTCCTTTGTTGCGACCGGCGAGTTTGGCGTTTTTGTTCCGGCCGTTATTCCTGGCGATGCGTTTCTTTGGAAATGCGCTGCACTTACCTACCGCGTCGTCGTCGTCGGTGCCTTTTGTCTTTGAGCGCTTGATCCGTTCGCGCTGATCTGCAATGGTTGGGGAAGGAGGCGCGGAGGGGAGCGGGGGGGCGACTTTCGCGGGGATCCTGAGATACTTGAGCCGAGAGGGCCCGCCGGGCTGCGGCCGGGCTGCCGTAGGCTGCCGTGCCGAGGCCTGGTTATGTGTCGCCCTGGGAAGCCAACCACTTTCTATCTCTGTTCCTCCTGTTTTATTATGTTGATGAGTCTCGTGTTCTGATGGCGATGGTTATGCCGTGCGCTTGTATGTAGGTAGGTGCGTTCTGGTGAAAGAGCACAAGTTGCTGATGGCCATCCTCAGGTTGCGTTGTACTAAGTACAGTACACTATGAAAGAAAACAGCAGAAATGAGGACAACATTGTTTTAAAGCAACCTTATAACAGCTTGTAGTGCGTCTTAAAATTCGTTATAATGGCACAGCTTCAGCGAGAGTCATCACTTCACCGTTTCTCATGGACCGGGTGGATGACAAACCCCGCGCAGGTTATTCTGTACCGCACGCACGAGTGCGGGCGGGCTTGCCTATCGCCACTGACCACGGCGCCTGCGGGCTGGGCGAGTAGGCAACCCGCCCGCGCGGACGGGTTGCGGTACAGAATAACCTGCGCGGGGTTTGTCATCCACCCGGTCCATGAGAAACGGTGAAGTGCCACCACAGAGCTCGTGGAGTGCATCTTTCCACGCGTGAGTCACATTATTCGAGTGCAATGAGATTTAGTGCGCCGGGCCGGGAACGTAGAGTTCACCAGGAAAACCGTGATGCCATATCGTGGAGTAGTAGACCGGTGTCGTGGCGCACTGTGGCGAGTACGTACAGTACACCTGACACGTGGGTTTGTGCGGTGGAGCGTAGAGTGCATTGACACGTGAGGTACGTTCGAGGTACATTGTTAGTGCACGTGAGCCGACGGGTGTACTCAAAAATGCGACGGGTGACGGGTACACCTGACACGTGGGGTTGTGCGGTGGAGCGTAGAGTTGGCAGAGTGCATTTGGCACGTGGGGCACGTTCGAGGTACCTTCGCGAGGTACATTGTTGGTGCACGTGGACGGACAGTGTACCTTACGCCGTGGGGAGTAGTACACCGTGGCACGTCGAGCTCTTCGTGGAGCGCATTGGCACGTGTGGGGTACGTCGGTATGCAGATGAACAATCTCCGCCATGACGCCGGGCTGCGCCGGGCTGTTGCGGCCGGCAGGCTCGGCGCTCACAGTCCTAGGGGCGGCGGAGCATGAGGCGAGGTGCGGCGTGGCGCGGCGTGGCGCGGCCTCTCCAGCAGGGAAAGGTGGGGATAGAGTGGATAAGGTAGAGGGGGCCCCCCGGCTCCGCCCGGCTCTACCGCTCACTCAAGTTCAGGGCCGGCGGGGCGGGCGGGAGAGGAGCTGCTTGTTTGGTGCAGCCCGTCCTGGTGAGGAGGAAAGGAAGAGGTGGCCGGGGGAAA